GAGCCTTCATTGTTTATGCAGTATAACTATAAAAACATTGAATAACCACAGTAATTTACGTAGTATAACATTTATTGGAACCTGCAGACATTTCCGCAATGTATTCATCAATGGTACAAATCGCTCACATCCAAATATTTTATGTTGTAGATATGTCAAGAGTTCTGTGCCATTGAAGTACACTGTCCTAAACCATTAAGAGATAATCAGAGTTTTCCAGATTCTATCTACGGGAAGACACACTTTACTGTTATTAAATATTGTCAATGGCAACCTGAAGTTATTTTTATGCAAAACGAATATCAGATGACCAGTCATGTGATCTCGTAAGCACATGTATATCGCATGTCTATGTTCACAAATGTTCATTTAGTACTGCCGACTTTGCAATAACTGATCAGAAGAAGTTTGTTAATAAGGCATATGACATGCTTAAAACTGGTAAATCAATGAGCTGATGAAGTAATATGCCCCACCCCTCTACTACCAAACTGCTTCCAGTTCTATTACATTGCTTGGAACCGAGTTACGTGCTGCCAAGCGTTTTCATATGGCATCTCATGCATGTTCAATCAAATTCAAATACAATAAGCATACTGGACAATCAATTCTCTCAATCACCACCATCACCACCCCCTAGTCTTCCAGGAAGTTACTAATTGTTTGCGTACGGCGGAAGTGCGCGTTTTCATCAATTATAATAATCTTCTGGCCAAATGTACCTGTATGTTGCAACTTTAGAGGTATTAATACCGTACAGTATTCGTAGCATATAAAGCATATGACCATTTGAAGGAGGGGGGGGGGGGTAAACAAGTTAAATAAATCCATAATTTTATGGTTTTCGATCAATTACATAGCCTTGTTTCGAACAATTTACATGACATTTGGTACAAAGATAATATTTACAGGTCCAAAACAGAGATATAGACAATTTTGGATTTTTTTTTTTGTCAAATTGTAAGCGAGGAAAGAACAATTTGGGCTTTTCGTGAGCTATTCATGTGTATGTCAACCAACTTACGTGGAATTTGGTACAAAGATACTTTTTTTGAAGGTCCCAAGCACTGATATAGACTGTTTTAAATTTTTCTGTGTTTTAAACGATTTTTCTGGTATCAAAATTGGCCATTTTGTGATTGCGTGGCGGATACATGTTGCATTTGCCCGCGAATGTCAGCCTCTTTAATTTTCAAAAGCCCTAATAATATCTAGTAAGATATATATAAACTAGATTATTTACACGATCAACAAAAGGAAAAGATACAGAGTTCCTAAGGTGTTAAATACGGGGTCAGAACTGAACACTTATCCCCCTATGCCACTCTCCGGGATGTCCTCAGGAATTACAGGAATCCCTCGATTAGTGCGGTTAATGTGTTCTTTAAAAGAGCCGCACTAATCGAATATAATAACTTATAG